GTTGCACGGGGCGTTGGCGACCAAGGCTGCGGACAAGCTGGCGGCGAAAGCACTTCAGCGAGCACTGGATAGCTTCACGTCTGGGGCCTTGGGATGATCCAACGACTGTGAAACTGGTGCAATTGGATGGTAGAAATATAATGATATATATATATATATGAATATATACAGTATATATATATATATTCACATATATATATATATAGATAGATAGATAGATAGATAGATAGTTAGATAGATAGACAGATAGATAGATAGATAGATAGATATAGTCTTATAGATGGATAAATAGAAGAATCGACAGCTACATACATCAGAGTCATCCCAGGAGGTTAGGCTGTTTTTCACCTTGAAATTCCGACGACTTGAACCACGACTGAGATTCGGCAGATGAATCCGATCATGGACTAGTCACTCAAAAAGACTTTACCTTCTGGTAAACTAACATAACTATGGAAAATGGCCATAGAAATAGTGGATTTTCCCAGTAAAAATGGTGATTTTCCAAAGTTATGTGACAGTTTACCAGAAAGTACATAATTCCCTCATACAATAGTTTTTTTCCTTCAAGTAAATTGCACTTACTATAGTTTTTTCTTGTTTTGGGCAAAATCTGTGGTTGAAACGATGTCATCAACTGGATAATTCTCGCTGCAAAAATAATCAACTTTTGGAGTGTCAACTATTCGTGGCGGCATGTTTGATTCGAAACAAGTTTTGCTTCAAACCCGACCATTATTTTGATGTGCGGAGCTAATTTGTTGCTTCAACATTGGCTTGAAATATGTTGCAGCAAGCTTTGCCGATGGCTTGAAATTGATGGATTTCTTTTCATATGGGTCTTCTAGGTCAAAAGATGGATTTCTTATGCTATGACAGCTGCTGTGGATGAATCGAAGCACAGTTTTCCAGCTTTCCAACTGTTGGAAAACTAAACCAAGGCGTGCGGACTATTTGTCCGATGACAATCTGGGGTGGTCCGGACACCCTGGGGCCCTGGGGCCTTCGTGTGGGGCACCTTCTTTCGTGCGCAGCTTGGGTACCGTATTTGGTTTTCTAATGATTCT